TTAATCCAGTGCAATATTGGTTTTGGAAAGAAAAAAAGAAAGAAAGAAAGAAAGAAAGAAAGAAAGAAAGAAAGAAAGAAAAAAAAGAATGAAAAGAATGAAAAGAAAATGAAGGAGGAGGAGGAGGAGGATTATAAAATCCCTAGAAAAAACACCAAATCATAGGCAGATAAAATGAAGACTACCTCTCAAATGTTACCTGAGCAATGTTATAGCTGACAGTGGCCAAAGCATGATAATAAAACAAGTAAGATAAGGATGCAAGTCTTAAATATTCATTAGATAATAATAATAATGATAATAATAATAATAATAACTATAATAATGATTAACTCTCCCAACCTATCCATTTCCAAACTAACCACTCTGTATAAAAGCCATTTAATTACTAACAGTGTATTTTAGTAGAATAAAGCTTCTAAAGTTGGTATTCATTGTTGTTGCCTCATTACAATAATATAAACAAAATGACTGATGTAACAATTCCAATATTTTGCAACACTCAGTATTATATAATGTGTATGTCTTATGTTTAAAAAGGTATACATGCATAAAAATATAGAAAAAATACAAATTTTTGTACAAACAGTGCTTGTCTCGAGAAAAACAGTTGTACTGGTAATCAATGCATCAAATTGAATGAATGGTATGCTACGGAAATGTGAGTAACATGATGATTTTGCTCATCTTGAAATTTTCCATTAGTTGATTAATTACTCAGAGGAATTAATCAAATCTTCTTTATGTGCCATATCCCTTCATAATGTAGGCGATCATAGCCCTCCACATCTTCCTGTTACTTGTAACTCTTAATAAAGTTTGTCTTTCTGTTATTTCTCCAAAACCCTGTTCCACCATACATTTACTCAAGCCCATCAAGTATGATACGCATTGCTTTCCTCTGTCCCTCTTTCCCTCTATCTGTCCTGTGAGTATCAGATTTTCCAAGCCCTCCTTCCTCATTACATGCCCCAGAAATTCCAAATATCTCTTCCTGATTTTAAGTAGAAGTGTACTTCTTGGTTTTTCATTGTCTCTAGAACTTCATCATTGCTCACATGTTCAGTAAATGGTATTCTCAACATCTTTCTGTGGAACCACATCTCCCTTTACTTCAAGTTTCTTCTTAATCTTTGAGGATATTGTCCAGAATTTGCTGCCATACAGAAGGACAGATACCATGTAACAGTTCAATATTTTTTTCTTTGTTTCTAATTAAATTTTTCTGTATCTTAATACTCTGCTTAGCTTTTGGAATGCATCTTTGGCCATAGCAAAATGTCTTCGAATCTTGGTGTCACACTTTCCATTCTCTGTTAGCACACCTATACTTAATTAATCAAATATTTCAGTATAGATCCTATGGAATTCTCCTGCCATTCTGTGGACCTGTAAGTTACACACACAAATGAAATATATTTTATAAAAATAGGAAATAGTCAAAACAATTTTACTAAAACTAAGTAACAAGAATTACTGACAAAGTACTAAACAGAGAGCACCAATTAATCTTATTACCCTGCCACATACTTGTTCAATTTTGAATATTTTCACCCAATCCCCAATCTAAAAGAGGAATATATTTTTGCCTGCAAAAGATTTTGTTGCTCATGTGACTTAAGGATTTCGGTCATTGTGCATTTTTAGAGTGGGGTGTATGCATACACATGAGTAGAACAGGCTGATGTGGGAATGAGTGTTATTAACAAGATACCATTTCTAGATAGATTGCCAAATAATGTTGAAGATTTTCTACCTGTCTACCAACTGGTTTTGAATTCAGGGTTTTCTTTCTTCTAGACTGGTTGTAAACTGTCTGCCTTGCTACTTAACCCAGAGATGAAGAGGAAAAGATATGTATTCACATCTTTCCCAAGAGAATTCAAACTCTGATCACCAATTTCTTTTACCAAATCACTTAACATTACCTGATTATGTTTAAATCAATACAATGGATTATTAATCAACCCAGATTATGTTTAACCCACAATATATCAGCTTAATAAAAAAAAAAAATCATGGCTACTATTATTACCATTGGCAATTAATTAAGCACCAAACAATTAATGAAAATAGCACCTTGCCAAATTTAGATTTTTCCAGCAATTAATTGAGTTTTATATATCTGTCCCAAATGTCATGATGCAGTTTAAAACTGAATTAACTTTCAAAGTAGAAAATAACCTCATATAACATGATTTATATATATATATAACTTTAAGAGTTATAAATTTTTTTCAAGAATCAATATTAAATCTTTTCAATTCCGTGATACTATATAGAATCAAAATTTCATGTATTATACCAGAACAAAAACTATAAAAAAAAACATAAAATGAAATGAAATGAAAATATTGTTAAATCTTATGTCCAAATTTATCTCAACACTCTGGTTCCCAAAACTGTAGACTAAAATATTTGTTAATCAGAACTGCTTTCTAAAAACGTTAGCATCTGAAATTGTTTTCTTAAATATTTTGAGGCTAGAACGGTTTATTTTTAATTTGTACAAGAAAAAGAAATAAGGTACTTTCAAAAGAATGAAGAAAAAAAAAATAGAAAAATCAACTGAATATTTTCATGGTGTTCTCTCTCGAACTGGTGAGGACAAAAGGTTCAGAAACAAAAAAACTTGTATTGTAAAAAACTTTTTTCAGTACCATTTAAAAAGAGTCAAGCATCATATAGATAAAAAAAAGTCACATAAAATACCAGGTAACCCAGTGCTGACCAAACTCACTAGCTAAAAGCAAACCTAACTGGTATAATCAATGTTCAATTTCAGACTAAAAGTAGGTAAGTGAAAAAAAAAATTGTAAAAATCCTACATTACATGTTTTGTCCCAAGACTTTGAAGGAAAAAGTGGGATAAAAAGATAAACAGATAATCTGCAGAAAACAATTTAGATTAATGGGATTAAGAAGAAATAGAGAGACATGAATAGAATAAAACAGATTAACAGACAGACAATGAAATGTTAGATAGATAGATAGATAGATAGATAGATAGATAGATAGATAGATAGATAGATAGATAGGTGAGAAAGCATGACAGATTGATAGGTAGATAGATATTAATAGATTGAGATAGATAGATAGATAGATAGATAGATAGATAGATAGATAGATAGATAGATAGATAGACAGACTCATAGACAAATAATGAAATGAGATAGATAGATAGAAAGTGAGAGAAAATGATGTGTGATAAATAGAAATAAAGAAAGAAAGAAGAAAAAAGACCTTCAGACAAGCAAAAATGAACAGTTTGAATACATAAATGCTAACACAAAGACAGAAATTGAGTAATATATTAAAATAAACATTGAAATAAATATGAACAGGATAAGTTACTTAAAGAATAAAGAATTCACTGAAATAGATAGATAGATAGATAGCTATGAAAACTTGGATCAAGTTTCATTCCTTATCAGAAGCCCATTATTATAAAAAGAAACCCTGGGGCAATTTCACATTAAAAAATTGTTTAGGGAGAAACAAGAGTGACACTTTTGGTGGTTCTTATCGAAGCATGTCTGATAAAGAAATGAGCTGAAGATAAGAGACAGCAGTTATTCTTCAGGGGGTGAGGTCTGCCACACTTATAAAATCTGTGGGTGTCAAAGCTCAAACTGATAAAATTATCTGACATGATAGCAAGGAAGCTTCTGTAAGTAACAGTGCAGAAAACACTTGTTGGATCAACTGGGTGTGTGGGGAAGGTGGCTCTATTCTGGAAGGAAGCACCCAGAAGAACACTTAAAACATGGGGTCTTAAATAAAGTGTATCATGTTACTTTTTATGTAAATATTAGTGCAAAGTAGACTAGTCTCTCATATATCTAAGGCGATAATTACTTTCATACTTAGATGGATAAAAGAACATAGTTTGGCTTCTTTTGATGTGCCAATCATGGCTCTCCACAACTTTCTATCCTTCATAACTCTTAACAGATTTTCTAACCTTACTACACCACCTACTCCCTGTTCCGCCATTCATTTACACTTTAAGCTTTTTACTCTTTTGTCCCCTTGTGTCTGGAAAAATCATTATTATTCTAAAAAAAATATCATTAAGACAATATTCACTCACAAAAATGAATTATTCATATTCAATATATGTTTCAGCTTTAAATATCTCTTAAAGGGTTGATAAACTGTAAAAAACAAATCAATCAATCTGTCTGTCACTTTTGCTTTCAGTATGTTTTGTGAGTATCAAATTCTCCAAGCCTTCTTTCCTCATTATGTACCTTAGAATTTTCAACTCTTTCTGGTACAAGTTTAAGTGTTGATTTTGTATCCATTTTCCTTGAAATTTTCTGTTTGTTGGTTATATTGTCTATCCAGGTTATTCTCTGCATCCTTCTATAGAACTACATCTCTGTTGCCTTAAGTCTCTTCTTCTTCTCTTGGGAGGAAATTGTCTAGCATTCCCTACCAGATTACATGTAAATTAGCGATCTTTTCTTTATTGAAAATAATCAGCTGAAAATATTGTTCATTTGATTTAAATAAATTCATAATTTCCTTTTGAATTTCTGGGATACAGAATTATTATTATTTATGCTAATTATTATTTTCATCTTTGTTGTTATTATCAATATGACAATTACTTTTCAATATATCAACCAATTGTTTTGTCCGTGTATTGGTTGATATATTGAAAAGTAATTGTCATCTTTGATAATCACTTATGTAAGCCGAATGGTTAGATTGGATTTAAACATGTATCAATATGGTGTTTTCTTTCGACTTTCAATGATAATGTTATTAAGTTTATCAGACAATATGAAAGGAACTTACTTAAAATAAATAGACAAAACTTGTCTATATTATTTACTGAAACATGCATCAATGAAAAATTGCTGCCTAAATATACACAATATATATATATATATATATATATATATATATATATATCAACAAACACTGTTGTTTCACTCTGCCACCCTTTCGCCTCTCCTATTTTTTCTTTATCCTTATACCTCCCCCCTTAAAATTTACCTATTTTCTTTTTCTTCTTCTTTTCAAACAAATAGAAAAAAGGAAATGATGTTCCATGTGGAATCTGCTTACAAATAAAATTGTTCCCAACCATTTTGGTTCTCACCAATTGAAGTGCAATTAAATGCACCAAAACGAAGTTTCATCTTTGTCATGAATATTGCTCTACTGTCAGTATTGAGCCCTCTTTTCAATTAATGCTGTGAGCGTTAGAATTTATATATTATTTTCATTCTCACTACATTCGGATATATATATATTATATATATATATATATATATATATATATATATATATATATATATATATATATATATATATTTCTGCATATAAGATGACCTTTAGATCCCAAAAATTCCCCTTAAAAATTGGGAGTCATCTTATACTACAATTCTAAAAAAGAAACTATAAATTCTGAAAGATGATTGCTGGTAAGCTAACCTCGGCCTCTGAGCAATAACTAATAATGTACATGAAAAGATTTACATTATCAAATAAACTGATAATAAAAGTAGTAAAACTATTTCTACCTTATATATTACTGGCATAACTTCATCAGAAATTGCCTATTTGAAGAATAATTCCATATCAATGAAATCAACTTGCATCCCTGCAATCCCAGTTGAGAAAATGTAAACAATGAGTTCTGATTGCATTCACAGCAATGGAATGTACTATTATTGTACATTATTATACTGTTATCAGTGGTATTTTGTGATAGTTGATAAAGTATAAGTAAATGGCCATAAGTACACCAGGATGTTTGTAACTATTTAGATATAGAAATAGGAAAAAGATGAAGAAGAAGAATCAGTATTCACAAGAGATCATGTGGTGAAACGTAAACAAAACAGTGGCGTCCTTTTAGAAGACATGTGTAGGAAAAACATGATACAGAATTGGTTTTGTTATTTCGTTTATTTTGAATTTCTAAAGATACAGCAAATAACATTTCCAATAACATCATCCTTATATAAATCAATAAGCAGTCATACTACAGGTATAGGATAAATTCATGAAAATTTATTATATTTTTTTACCTTTCCGATCAATGGGTCAATTATATCTACAAAGAACAATATAGAGACAAAGAAAATCATTGGAAAATTCGTAAACTTAAGGAATCAGCACATATGCTAGGCCACAAAAATCTCCTGAGCTGACCAAACATAGAAATGAATACAATATGGGAACCAGTAACAAGGAGTGCCAGAGAAAAGCAACAATAACAACGAAAATTGCAATATAAACTCTGGTAAAAAATATGCAATGATAACAGCAAAAATTGCAATATGAGCACTGGTAAAAATGGTTGCTGAAGAGATTAAATTTATAAGTCCCAGAAATTCATATACAGATGTTCTTAAGGACACATGGCACAGTGAATAAAGGTGCTGGTTAGATCTAGTGGCAGGACCCAAAGTGGTGTGAGTTCAATACCTGGTTAAAGCAGTGGAGAACTTGGAGAGGAAAAAGATGATGGAAAAGTGAAAAATGTTTGAATTAACAGGAGATAATTGCCATTAGAGATGGTACGGGGAACCCCAGTGAGTGAAATAAAGGAGTCAGTTTGACATCCCAATACCTGAAGAAGGCCAGAACATACAACGGGAGGAACGTTGTGATAAATATGGCAACAAAGATGAGGACAATAGTCCGAATAATGTAAATAGTGAACATAATACCTCATCTCAGAAATATGGACAGATTCAGAAATTTCTATATTTCAGAACTGAAAATTAAAATTTTTGTCCCATTATTGAACGATATTGAATAAATTCTGAAAAAAGAATGATCTACTTTTTTAAGCAAAGTAGTATTATATTTAAGAGTTGAAAGGAGAACGAGATTTCAAAATTTTAAATGGGTGTTGTCTATTTTAACGAATCAGGGAACAGATATAATCTAGACGGAAAAGTAAAAAATGTTGGTTAAATGTTTGGTGTGGGTATGTAATTTCTATTTGCCGATACCAGGTTTCGTGTATGAGACGTGTCATCCTGTCTACCTTTTTTGGAACTTATATAAGATACATTAAAATACTGGGAGTTATTTGTATTGAACCACGGGTTAATTTGGCATTTTTATTTATTTTTCCCAAATATGTTGGGACTTTCTTAAAGGAATTTCAGATAGGATTAAATCATATTTTATATATTTGATATTTTTAATTATAAACATCTAAAATGCTATATTTATGATAATTAATGGTACATTGGATATGACATTGTTAAAATTAAAATTTTAAATTTAGGAATTAATTACACATTTTTTTTTTAATTATAAGGCACTGAGATTAAGCATTTTATCATATTTTTCTTGCATTTGTACAAATGATTTCTGTTTGGTGTAGTTCTGCTTTTGTGTATGTGGAACTGTCTGAATAGGTATAACCGTGCCAATGTTTTATGAACCTGACTGCTTTTTGATAATTTAGTAACCATTATCAAGGATGTTTTTTGCTTGCCTGAATATGTAGATTTTTTTATAACAATATGTACGTTTCAATTTCCAAACACTGACAAGACATTGTGGCCATGTTCATAATTGATATTACTGAATGTTGCTTTCTTCATTTTTTATTGTTAACTCTTTCATTATTTTTAACTCTTTTCTGCATTTAGAATTAGTGTATTATATTATATTATTTTCTACCAGTATGTTTCAGATGGTGATTTTCTAAGAGCAGCTTAGATGTGACACAAGGCCGAAAATATGGGGCACCCAGTGAGGATCAAACTCACTACTCAATCATAACTGATCTAGCAAGGCAAGCTTTCTAAACATTACACCACGTCGAGGTTTCCCTAATATGTTTCAGATAGAGGTTTATAGGTCTCCATGTGTATACAAAAATAATCTGCTTATTCAGATAAACAAGAAAAAACATTGTTGATACTAGCTAATTGATTAGCCGAAAGCATTCTGATTCACAGATCATTTTTACACACTCTGTCCAGAAAAAAAATCAAAAATATATATATATATATATATATATATATATATATATATATATATATATATATTAATACATAATATATATGTATGTGTGCTTATATTTGATTATAACTATATGCACTCACTTATTTGCAGATACACATGTAACTATGCATGTTGCAAATTTTTAAGTGCATGATATGAATGTGTAATGTTTCTATGTGTGGACACATATCTGTGTAAAGGTGTTAAAAAATTTCAATGTTTGAATTGAAAAAATATGAATTGAATCTGACAGAATAAATAAGAAAGAAATAGAAAAACATTTTTAAATTTAACATTTATTTTAGCGTCACCAGAAATGTTTGGGAAATAAGTTCTGGAAAAGAATGTTTCAGTTTTTCAATTTCTGTGTTGTTTGGTCAGGTAGATCTGACATGTGGCATTAGTGTGTGTGTGTGTGTGTGTGTGTGCATGTTC